TCCCTAAAGGTTCTGGACTGTGCCTTGTGAACCAGGTAACAGCGAGGTGTGATACATCCCACCCTCTCAGGCTCACAATACCACAGACACTGCGTAGAAAAACAAGAGTTTAGGCACCACAGAAGAAACCATGGAATAAAAATGCTTAGAAGACAAAAGATTTCTATTCTATACCTGATACTGATGTGCTTTTTTTTTTTTTTTTTAAATTTTATGCATTATTCCTGGCTGTGGCCAAGAAGTGCACTCTACCTGCATTCCAGCTGGAAACTCCATTAATCCCTCTCTGTTGCTCATCTCTTCCACCACAAAACCCTTTGATGAATTCACAGGCTTCCAGCCCAAAGCATGTGGAAGTCAGAGCACGAAGGAAATGAAGGAAACTTCTGTCTTTTGCTCAACAGTTTTTAATCGGACCATCACAAGACTTTAAACCTGTAGTGCCTGAGTGGGAAGATGCTCCACTGCGGATGGGAGGATGTGTGTAAGGCAGCATCAGTACGAGCACTCCTGGGAGGGCTGAGTGCCTCCTGTGATATTATGCTCAGTAAAGGGAGAAAAAGAAAGGGAAAGCAAGTGTTCTCCTGTAAGCTGAAGCAAAACACAATCCTGTGTCTTTATGTCCTCATCTCTCCTCTGAGAGATTTTACTCTCTTATAACGCAATGGCTCAAAATCTGGATGAGATGGGGAGAAACAGAATAGAACCAAAGGTCCCATATAACTTCTGGATGTTTTCTCTTCTGTGTAATGGATTCAGCTCAACCCACAAAATCTCAACATCCCTCCCCTAACAACCAGTATCTAGGCTCTAAAGCAAATTTAAATCATTCCACTTCAGTGCATAAACAGATCCATACAAGGATCCACTACCTTCCCTTACCCTCTAAGGAAAAAATCTTTCATCTCCACAACTGTCTCTGTGTTTACAGCTCTTATACCCAAAGCGCAGCACCAAAACTCATGGACTCTGCAGATATAACAATGAGTTCGGGTAGGGCAGCTTCCTCCAGCATGGCTAATCTGTGCGATTTCAGCACATCTTTCCACCATCAGCAGTGGATTTCTGTGGCCACACAGACCCCAGATCCACTCCGCAGCTTTTCCTTTTCTCCAAAACACATACCAATGTTGAAGATTGAAGAGAACCATGAAAAGCTAGGGTTTAAGCCATGGGAGAGCTTCTCCATCAACAGATTATAGCCTCAGCTGCAGTTCTGGTTTGCAAATGTCAGAACAGCAGATGTTGGGGCTGGCAGTAAGATCCAGGTTTTCACAGAGATGCACAATGTTAAGACAGCCCTGGGAAAGCAGTGAGCTGAGTAAAACAGTCCTGTAAGTGTGCTATTGCCCAGAAGGCCATAAAGACAAGATCTAATCTGTTGTGATTCACTGAGCAATGCTACTTATTGCAAGAGCTTACAAACCCACATTTTAACAAAAGTCTCTGAAGCAGTTACGAAAGTTAGATCAAAACCTGACTTTTCAATTCACTCCCCAAAAGGCATGGGAGATCTTGTTCCCCAAGTGATGAAATAGCAATTGTGGTTAAATAAATAAAGTTAATTGCCATCTGCAGCCTTCTACCAAATAAACTGGCAGGAGCAATCGGTGTATACTCTGGGTTTTACCAGCAATTACAATTCTAGTACAACAAAGCCGCTAAGGCTGTAATCGTTTTCCACCTCCCCTGCTCAGGCTTTCACACAGTTTGTACCCACTGAGCACAATTCATTTTCACCATCTGCCCAGACGGAACTACTCACCTGCTATTCTCAGCTCTGTGACCAATTCTCTATTCTGGATCCTGTCATTGCTTCTACTCAGGACAGTTGCTAAGCGTTGCCCATCAGTAGAGTGTGGCTCAAGGCTTAGCCACTGACACCACTGATGATTTCCCAATGGTTTTACAAAACATCTGATGAATGTTATGTTCCCTCCTTAGGCATCCTCCCCTTCCCTCTCCCTAGCCTCTTCAAAGCAAAGTGAGGATTTCACTCCATTTTATCACTCTTTATTGCACGTTACTAGATTCTCCTCGCTGTCTTTTAGAAGAGCTGTTGTCTCCTCCTCAAACTCTGTTCTGAGATATATTTGTAGCAAAGAAAACCCACTCAACTTTGTTATTTACCTTCAACTCTTCTGCATCCTTCCTCTCTTTCACTACCTTGCTCTCTTTATCTATGTCTTTCCACTCTCTCAACCTCACTCTGAAATCCTTCCCAACAGCCCTCAAACTTGAGCTTCTTTTCTGATGTTCTATATCATGCAGGTACTTCTTCCTTCACTTTGATTACATTCTGCATTCCCTGATTCAAGTGCATCACCTCCTATCCGTATTGCTCCTGTATTTATACTTATAGCTAAAAGGCTAACATCACTCTTCGTTAGACAACAATTCACCTTTGTGAACACCTTCCCTTTAGATAATACCCCATTTATCTTCCTTGATGTTGCTTCCTTAATTTCTTCTCACCTTTCACTTGGAGTTCAACGTTTTCTTTGTGACCACCTTCAGCATAAATTAGATGGTGGCTATTGCACACAGTCGTGTCTCTTTTCACCACCACTGTTACATTATGTCAACTTCTTCCTCAAGATCATACAGAGAAACAAAGAGCCTTCCATGTTTCCTTCCTTATATCACGTTATGGCACTTCTATCTTCAATTCAGTGTGTAGTTGCTATAGCTGGACAATTCATCTGTCTTGGACCAATTTAATCTGAGCTAATCATATAGACAGATAAATTGAACCTCTGTCTGGAAGTATCTCTCTGCCACCGGAAACTTAGAGCGAGGTGGAGCTTTTAAGCAGCTGCAGGTAAAGGAGCCTCACAAATTTCACAAAAAAAAAATTTTCACACTAATACTCCAGTACTACCACTTCCATTCTCCACAGTGACTGATGGAGCTGGTGACCTGCTCACAACCAATGCAGAAAGCCAGCAGCAGACGTGGGATCAGATCAGGGCTCACAAACTTCTGATCTTCGTTTCCAGATTTCTTCAGCTTCACCATGGGGTGTCCCTGAACTAAGCTGTTCTGTGCCATGCCCCCAAAACTGTTACATGAATCATTTCTTTCAAGTCTTAAAAGAGAGGGGTATTTATGTGTGAGATGATCTTTCTTTGTGGCCAGGGTTTTGTTTTAATTCTTTAGCAAAGTCTGTTTGTTCCACAGGAAATACATATTTGATCTGAAAAAAATATAGTACTAAATATATCACTCAGTGTGACTTAATTTTGCTCTTATAGCATTACATACATTTAACTAGTCATGAAAACCAATGGCACATTCATTTATATTCTTATTTCTTGTCCTGATGGTCTCAGGCCTGGCTTCTCCAAGTTGATGCTGCTCAGCAGCCCTCAGAAAGAATTACTGCTCACCCCTTCTCTCCCCACTCACTATAAGGAATAATGAACCGCTGGGGTAAGCTGCCTGGAGAGCCTGTGGGAAGCTCAGCTTTGGAGATCGTTAGGAAAAGGCTTCACAAATATCTGATAAAAATGACAGCAGTGAATCTAGTCCTGACTTGGAGAACAAAGCTGACCTAAATGGTTTTATGGAGTTGTTCGCTGCCCTGCAGTTCTGCAGTGTATCAATATTCCTATAACATCAAGTGTAATTTGTTATAGAAAGTAATAGAACTAAGAAGCTGTTAGTGCATTTTCAGCTGCCTTATCGTGATTCTTGATGCTGTTTCTAGGCATATC